TCTCCCTAGATTTGAACTTGTGACCTGTCAGTCTTCAGTCCTGCCAGCACAAGGGTTTAACCCATTGTGCCACCGGGAGCTCATATCCTATTAAACTAAGCAAGTGGTATTTAAATGCTGATAGAAGTGCATTTAAACTTATGGGCAATTATTTGCACAACTGCACCATCAAAAACATTGGCTATATAACTAATAAACAAAATAAAAAGAATAAGATACAGGCAAGCTGGGGTTTTCACCTCTTCGCCATAAGTATTCAGAGAAAGCAATACCACACTAGTCCTTTGAAAGATGATTCACAATGAAACCTTAAAAATGTCAAGGAATAGCCACACTTAATATCTCTTATTTGTTCATAAAATTGATCCACATATAAGGCCATAATTTAAGAGACTGCCGTCCTGGCTGAAGGCATGCCAACAAATGTAAAAGTTATCCCATGTTACCTTGATATATTGTATGGACTGGATTGTCCATCAAGACGGTGTAGTTACTAAAGTCTTCTTCAGACAAGGTGCCTCCATATTTAAGGACCTATGAACAAGATTAGAGGAAGGGAAGAACTGAGCAATATCTTATGCAAGGCCAAAAGAAAATTAAGGCTTAGCTGACCAGCGGGCAAAACAATTACAGTTTTCCTATAAAGTATACATTGAAGACATGAACATGCCATAAGTGGCTGGTATCAAACATTCAGAGCCACGTAGAAATAAAGAAATCAAGAAAGTAAAAATGAAAGACAGAAGAATTAATTTACCTCTGAAATAATTTCTTGTGTCACATTTCCACTGTAGAAAGCTGAGACCCCTCCTGACCCTAATAAATGTAAAAGCGCAGCCAGATCAGGCCTTCTCATAAACATGCCAGGCAGCAAGGGCTGGCCATCCGGAAGGAAAATCTCTTTGAATCTGTCTGAGTAGTTATGCTGTTCTTTCACATCTCTGATAGCCATTGCTTTAGAAAATAGAAGAGATAATAAAAGAATGATTAGAAAAACAAATCCTCATATTAATTCAGAAGTTTAAGAAGTCTCTTTGTGTTTATTTAAACTATAGAATTAATGCATATCAACACTGCTTTATGGCTCAATGCTGTGGGATCATGGGAGTTTTACAAGGCTTTTAGCCTTCTTTGCTAGAGTGCCCGTGCCTCACCAAACCACAAATCCCAAAACAGTGAGATCAAGTGGCAGAAAAAGGAAAGCTGTTTGATATAAAGTATCTCAACTGAGACATCAAAACAGCATTGATCACTGAGCCATTGAGGATTTCAGAGACCATTTTGATTTTGCCAGCTTTGCAAAAGATGGTACAGCTTGCAGATATATCTCTGCCTTGTGCCTGTTCATCTATGATTCACTCACCTAAATCATGTGTGACATTGAATCCATCTTGGGCTACATCTGCAGCAAGACCCAGCAGCTGTCTCCATGGCAGCCTAGCAAACAGAGAAGTATGCCATGACTTGGCGGTCATCAGCTGGCCTTACCATAGTTTTCAATAAAATGTGAGATAAATGTTATTGAACAAAGTTGCATTGCAAATGTAAGTCCTATTCATGCTGTGCTGTAACTGAGATTCATAAGGCCAATCAATCGTTCATGGGGAAGAAAAAAATGATTATTCAAAAGGGTATAGTTTGTTTTGTTTTACAATTATTTTCATAATATTGTTATATTCACATTAACTTCTTGATTTGACTGTTTTGCCCTTGCATTTTGTTGTAGTTGAGTAAAACTCTTGTCACAACAGTTATGAAAATCACTTCTCACATTGCACAGCCGCAGAACCATGCTTATTATTAAACATACACCAATCAAGAATATTTATTTGTTCCTAATTCCTTGAACAGTCTACATGGGGGTGACATTGATACATTTTCACTTTTGTGTGTACTGTGTATGCTGTTGTATGACTTCAAGTTGTTTCAGTAACCTTAAGGTGACTCTAAAAGAGAGGTTTCTTAGCAAAATTCCTTTGGGGGAGGGGGGTTGTCATTGTCTTTCTCTGAGACTGAGAGTGTGTGATTTGCCCAAGATTACTCAAAGGGCTTCGACAGCAGAGTAGGGATTGGAACCGTGGTATTAATCTAGCATTTAAACCACTACAACATATTAGCTCTCTTTTCTTGTATACATAAAACCGTTTATAGGTACGCCTTAAAAATATAATGTGTGACTCTTAACTGGTCCCAGTTGTGTATATAGCCTGCAGAAATAACAACTCCAAAAACCACATTATTATTACATGAATGCTTTGCATGGGAAAGGTCCTCCTTACCTCCCATAAGATTGATGTGCTTCATGGAGCCCTTTGACCATGCCTGGAACGCCAACCAGGAGGCCCGGCTGGACAAAAGGAAGTATATGGATGAGTTTTGCAAGAGTTCAGCTCATGTTAATTAAGCAGAGTCTAAGTTTTAAGTAAATCCCCTTTTTTGCAATATCCAATTAGGAAACACAAGGCATGCAAAATAACGTACAGATGCAAATTTTAAATAATGTAGTCTTGAAGGAAAAGGGTCCAAAGATTTCAAAAGTGTTGGCAGTGTTTCTATTAACTTTCTTATTATTACAGGGGACAGGCATATAATGAGAGATATAATGAGAGAGGAAGAGCCCTTGTAATTACTTTTTTTAGTCACTTTCAATTGCTAGAATGGTGTAATTATTTTAATGTACACCACTTAGAAATTGTAATATAACAAGTATACAAGCCTGTATTGCAAATATGTTGCATAAATAAATACATTTACCACCGTGCTTCTCAAAAAGTATAGGGCCTTTCAAACCTTTGTTTCCCAAGCCTTCCTAAGTCCCTCTTCTTGGATATTGAATGGGGCAGTCTCTCGGAAGTCAATCACCCGGCTCTCATTCTTCCGGATATCATGAACCAGCATTACTCCTCCACTGCAATAATTAAGGCATGCAAAAGTGAAATAGATACTGAGAATGCCTTATCACCTCATGAGCAAAGTGTGTTTTTATGTTTGCAAGGGTTCAGAACATGTTAACTAAACAGTGTCTCAGCTTTAAGTAAATCCACTTTTTTAATCCAATTAGTAAATATGAGGCAAGCTAAATAATGATGCAAAGTTTTAAATAATGTGGTCTATAAGAAAAAAGGTCCAAAGGTTTCAGACGTGTTAGCAGCGTTCCTATTAGTTTTCTTATTATTACAGGGAACAGGCCTATAATGAGAGATACAATCCATCATCCTTTTACAGAAACATGTTATGTGTTTTTAGCAGATATAACAGGACAGATGGATCAAGAACGT